CTGTACACAGAGGGGGGTGGGGGTGGGGAACAAGCTGCCCAGCCCTGTGGTTGAAGCCGATACCCTGGCTTCTCTCCAGACACAGCTGGGTGAGCACCTGGGATCAATTAACTACTAATGACCAAAGTAACTAGGCGAGTTGAATGCCTCCTCTCCTTTGTGACTGGTCTTCTGTCCCTGTGGTAGTAAAACTGAAAAGAAATTCACTTTCTTGAGGGAAGAGTTATTGGTTTATGTGTACGTATCCAAGTAGCAGACTCTTATCTCCCAATTAAGGTCAGTTTAGACGTGAAACCTAAAACAATGACCGGCATCTGCATTTCAGCATGGTGATGCTATCATTAAGTCATTCTCCTGGAATCTGAACAACACTGACCCTTGTCATGTCTGCTTAGGATCACTAGAGAAGGAAAGGGAGCCCCAGCACCCCGAAATCGGACTGCCCTGCCTGATCGTGCTGCTGTCGGCCGTCCCCCTGTCCGCCCTGGCCTCGTCCTGCTGCGTCCTCTTCATCCTCCTCCGCGGGAGAGGTGGGGCCGCCCCTCTTCCTCTCTCCGCTGGGCGACAGCCGCTCACAAATCCGCGCCTTCTGTGCGATGACGGGGTGGGGGGTGGGGTGGAGGGGGAGACCACCTGTCCGTTTCCCCAGCAGCTGTCAGCTCAGCTGGCCAGCCTGGGCACGGGACAGGTGTGAGCTTGGAAGCAGATGTTGGCCTGGCCAGACGCCAGCTCGCGTCACGCAAGTCACGGAGCGGAGCGCTTTTAGGGCAGCGAGCCGAAGACGTGATCCCGGCAGGTAAGCCGCTGTTCGAAAACCAGGAGAGACACACGCGAGGGAAGCGCCGGCAGGAAAGGCAGAGGTCGAGCTCGCCGGGTGACACCCGGCACTGAGCAAGGCAGGCGCTGTGGAGAGGGTTTCAGTAGTCAGGAGAGTGGGGGCGTGGCAGCCGTTGAGAGGTCTGATTGGTTCTCTTGTCCTGCGGGAGTTCTGCCTTCCCCTGCGGGTTGAGGTAGAGATACTCCCTGCTGGCTTGGGCAGCTGCTTGCCTGGACAGATGCGAGCTTGGACACAAGCTGCGCACTGGACAGATGTGAGCTTGGAAGCAGATGTGA